AAAAAAAAAAAAAAAAAAAAAAAAAAAGGAGAGAGAGAGAGAAATACAAGATGCTGCCCAGCCAGTGAGTACACCTATGATCTTGCTTAGTTAATACCTCCAAACACAACAGTGCTAAACCCCCACATTGGCAGGAAGCTTTGTATTTCTCAAAAAATTCCTTCCCAAAATATTTCTGGAAATCTTAACCTGTTTGTCCCCTCAGTCCCTCCAGCTGTGGGACCTTTGTAAGTGCCTTTCCCTTCCTTTTCGGAGTCCTGGGGATTTTGCTTATCATCTGTGCCCTGGCTGCAGCTCTGCAAGCCCCTACTGTTCTGGTGGCTCTTGCTCTCAAGGGTGCTCTACTTCATTGTCTACTCTGTTACTGTCCTCCAGACTTTAGCCTCCTATGTGTCATGGAGTTGTCTGAACTTCTCCACATCATCCACCTCTTCACATCTCTGCAACCCTCTTCCTTTGTTTATGCCTAGTTCTTTCGTGGAGAGTCATTCTCCTGGCCCCAAAACTTTCTATTCTGCTAAGTTCAATTAAATCAGCATATACTGATACCTCTTCTGAGCCAGGTGCTTGGTGCTGGGAATGCAGTGATAATAAACAAGTCTCTATGGCCTTAAGAGATTATATTCTAATGGGGGAGAAAACTCTGTAAACAAATAGTTTCAAAATAATGTGGTGATAATATACAAAGATGAGCCCAGGTCAAATGAGAACACAATCCATCCTGGTAGTTCAGGATGGCTCCAAGGAGGAATTTATGTCTCTCAGGATGTGTTCAGAGATTTTAACCACATAAAAAAAGAGGAAGAAAGGTCAGGGAGAAAAGATGATGAGCCTAGGCAAGATGGGTACGTACAGGAAAAAGACATGCAGTTGAATGGGGTGGGCCCTTGAAGTATGAAGCAGAATGGGTGTCAAGAAAAGCAGGGATAAACAGAAAGATATGATGGAAGGCTCTGCTTTGCTGTTTCAAGAAACTTATATTTAATTCTGTAGTGTGTGATTACTCAAGCAAAAAAAAAAAAAGTCCATTCGCATGCATATAGAAATGTACAGACAGACACATATAAAGTTGCCCATGATTTCAGCCATCCCGCCAACATACACCCCTGGAAGTAAATCCACATGCTGAAGCTGAAGATAGGATACACTGGGATGAAGGAGAATCCTTTGAACTATTTTAAGCAGCGAATTTTATGATCACATGTTAGTTTAAATACGTTACTATCGAGTTGCATTACAGGCAAGTCTGGAGTCAGGGAGTACAATGCAAAGGTGTTCTGTATCTAGGTAAGAGATGACAAGGTTATGAATTTGAGGATTAGTGACAAAGCTGGAGAAGAAGCTATGACAGCAGCACGTCTTGTGAGTCATGAGGAAGGAGAGGAGTCAGAGATGACTTCAAATTTCCAGCTGGGACAGAAGCTTGGTTGGGGGAAACGGTAATGAGTTTATTTTTGGACATTTGAGTTTGAAATGTCTTCGGGACAAGACAGCTTGGTGACAAACAGGCAATTGGATATAAATTAGTAGGTATACTAGTCTGAAGTCCCAAGAAGGGGTCAAAGTTAGTAATATAGGTTTGGGGGTGGGGGAGTCATATGAATATCTGCCAACTTGATTTTCACTGTGCTAAAGTATCATATGACTACAGTTAATAAAAATGTGTTGTATCCTTGAAAATAGATGAGAACAGATTTTAGGTTTCCTCAGTATATGAGGTAATGCTTATGTTAATTAGCTCAATTTAGCCATTCCGTAATGTATACATATTTCAAAGTGTTTTCCATGACAAATAATTAAATATATAATTTTTTAGAAATACAGAAGATTCTGAATTCGCTGTCATAATGATCCATTAGAGGGGAGAAAGGATTGTAGGATCACGATGATATGGACAAACCTAGTAAGGCTCTCCAAACCGGGTCTCTTCCCTTCTCACCGAGGTAGTCCTTTACTCACTTTCTCACCTCCGCCTGACATTTCCAGTCCTACACAAGCCCATGTTAAAATCTGATGGGATGGCAATAAGAGCCAAAAAATTCAATCCCAGATCCTAGTTGATGTTTTCCTAGGAAAAAATCCTTTATATTTAGTTTTATGAAACATAGAATAATAGCATTTTATTGTGCCAACATCTTAGTACAGTTACTATATTCTTGGTGATTTCTAAGCTGCCATACCTGGAGATGAAATTTATTTCGGGATCCTTCCAAGTGGTCTCCCCTACAATTCATTCTTCATAGAGCAGCCAGAATCATCATGTAAATATAAATCAGAGCATGGCACTCTCCTGTTTAAACCCATCCAATGGATTCACATCGCTATTCAAATAAAGCCCAAGCTTCCTACTGTGTAGTGGCCCATCTTTATCGCACCCCTTCCAGGCTCCTCCAGGACCTCCCTGACCTTCCCTTGTTCCCTTTTCAAGACAGGCTCTTTCCTGACTCAAAAATATCCTGTTTTCCTTTTCCTAGAACTCTCTGCCCTCAATATTTCGTATAGCAGGCTCCTTCTCATCTTTCATGTATGAGTTCAAAACTCCATTCCTTACAGAGGCCTTCCCTGACCACCATTTCTAACCCTTAATCAACCCACTCTCTATCATGTTACTGTTTTATTATTGTCCACATAATGCTTATCATGATCTGAAATCATGATTTTTGTTTTGTATACTTGTTTATTGTATATTGGAGCCATGAAGACAGTTACTTCATTTGAATCTTCCACATAAGAAATGTATCTAATAAATATTTGTAAAATGAATAGACTAATTAATTGAACATTCCGATTCCATAAAATTAGTAAGTAAACAGTTAAGTAAAAAAAGAAAGCACTCTGAACAAAGATGCCAGGCTCTGTAGTTGGCGCTGTCAATGGAACTGTGTCTTTCAGTAGTTCCCACTCTGGTGAAGACAATAGGCAATTGATTGTGAGACCCTAACTAGGAGGCAAATGAAGGGTCCTGTGGAATCACAAAAGAAAGGATCCCTTAAAGAGTCGTTAAAATCTGAAGGATGAGTGAGTGAAGGGAAAATGAGGACTGACGGGGTTGAAGGAATGTGGCAAACCCCTAGGTAGAAGGAACAGTAAGTAAGAAGCTATGAGGGGATGAGAATGTGAGAAATGTTAAGCAGTTCCCTATTCCCGGAGCGCTTTCCCAGGGTGATTGTAGGACTCGATGACATAGCATACATACTACTGTGAATGGTAACTCGCCGTATAAGTTACCGTTACGAATAAACACAGACCTGTAACTGCCAGTCACTTATTATATCTTCTGATATTCAAAGAAAAAGGAAGGATAATTTTGAAGAGGTACTTCGTGTGATGGCTTCTGTGACTTACACGCCGGGTCCTGCGACCTCACACCATCCGCTACACTAGTTGGTATTGCCTTGACCACGAATCTCATTGGTCTTCCCAAGTGGAAACTGTTGCAGGGTTGCTGTGGAGATATCCAGAGGCCCGCCCCCTGTCGCTGATTGGGTGAAAGGCGGCCAAATCAGAAAACCTGCCTCAGTCTCCCAGCTGCTCCACGGGGCCTGTGGCTTGGCAACTGATTTGCTTCCTCCGTTGCGAGGCTGCCGGGCTGCACCTGTGAAGTGGAGACAACGTGCTAGGACCTTGGTGGGCGTACACCTCTCACTCCCGCTCAGGCGCCGACGACACGGGGTTGTCTGTTGCTCTTGCAAGTTCGTCTTGAGACTGGGCTGTGAGCTGGCACTGCAGTGAAACGCCACAGACGAGGAAGTGCCCAAGTTTTCCTTCGGGAAGTTCTCGTTTAGAGGAGTCAGGAGAAAAACTCATTGTTATATCCCACATTTAGAAGCCAATTATCTTGGGAGGCTTCCGAGGTTCTAGAAAGCAAGTAACTTATATCAGTTTACTAAATGTGGGAAGGTGGCCCATAACTTCAAACATCTGCCTCAGAGTAAACCTGAGGCATTTGGGGGCGAGTGCCAGACCGTCCGCTGCCTATCATGCGCGGCAGCGCTTACCGCTTGCTGCAAAGAGACTTCCATGAGCTCACGGAGAACAATTATAAGGTAAGTAATAGGCACGTGGAGGGATGTGTTTCATTGTGCAATAATTTTTAAGAGACAGTTTAACCCATGTTTATTTTATAAGTCGTAATTTAGTTAAACCTGATTTGCCACTCCAGTATTATTTAATAAATATCTCACTAATGTATTTCATAATAATAATTATTATTCAAAATAATAATGCCTAACAATATTGAGCATATTGTCCAGAGTAATATATGTGGATCTAGGCGCTGAATATCAGGGTCTGTTATGTAGTTAGTGGCTAGCAGGTGCAGGCTTATGCTCATTAATTATAATGCTATAAAATAAGTAGTATTTCATTTACCTACCAAAAACCTAAGGCTCAAAAACATTCTGTAAAGATTTGGCCCATGATTCCATTACAGGGTTTTCTGATTTCAAAGCTCTAGTTCTTAATTCTTGTGTTCCACTACTTACTGTCCAGTGCACTTTTACCAGCATAACACATAAATGCCTTCCTTCTATAGTTTTAACACAAAGAAAGCAATAGCCTCGGCCTTAAATGCCACCAATGAGGTTATCAATGTCCGTAGGTGCCACAGGCTGATTTATGGAAAATGAAAAATGGTAGAGGGGACAAAGAGGGAGTGCTTAAGGGAAAGAATAGAAAGAAAGCTGCCCATAGAAGGAAGGTATAGAGTCCTTCCCACAGTTGCTTCAGGTGTAGTTCAGTGGATTGTTCAGTTTTTACCTCTGCTATAAAAGTACTGCCTTCACTGGAGATGTTAGGAACAGTTATGGAGTCCAACAGCAAACATTCCAGAGGCATGGACATAACATTTGATATTGTTTCTGCTCATCCTGAGCTTTGTGGTTCTCTGTTGAAAGAGAATCCAATGAAGGAATATGTAAATATAGATAGTAGAGATACAGTGCTGACCCAGACAAGCACTAACATACTTAAAAACTATGTAGGTGCTCAGGAGTATTTTTGTCAGTTTATGTAAGTGTATTAGCACAATTCGTAAGGTTTTCTATGAAATACATTCTTGTCTCTCCATTGGAGCAATACCTCAAGTATGGGAAAACTTTGCTTTTATATACAAGTGTAATTTTGGATTTTTTCTTAATGAAAATGTTTCCACTTCATGTCATTCATGTAGAATTCGTATAGCTATAAAATGTTTTGAAGAAACATGCACTTTCCAACTATTTCTTTCTTTTAAAATTGGAATCTTAAATTGGTTATTGACTTACACAAAGAGTATATAAGCCACACATCCTGGTCTTGACTTTCTAGTCCCACTTGTGATTTCCACACTTATGATTTATTTTTATTTCCTATTGAATTTGTTTTCTGGGATCTATATTAACTTCTGTGTCATAAGACACATAACACCTCCCCAGCAAATAAACTTATCAAAAAAAGAAAATTTAGAGTATTTAGAATTCAGTGTCAGCTGGTATATGATTTTTAAAACTTCAATAAATACTTAATAAGTTGTATGTGATTTAATTTTGTTTTTAACTTAAAGGGTATCACTGGTAGGCCTGTAAGTGAAGATATGATGGAATGGGAAGCTGAAATTGAAGGTCTACAGAATTCAGTTTGTCAGGGTTTGTATTTTCAAAACCAATCTATTTTTAAAAAGTCTTTCTACCATTATTAGCCCATCCTCTTTTTATGTAGGATAAGGTTGCATTATATAAATTTCCTGAAATTCTTCTTTATATGTAAAATAAGTTTGCATTATACCAATTATCTAAAATTCTAAAAGTATTTCCATTATTTTTTCATTATATGGATAATTTTTTTGCCATGTGTCAACATAGATGGAAATTTGGGGTATTTTTCTTTATGCTAAATCTTAATGTTATTACATTTTTAAGATGCAGACACAATAAAGCATATCAATTGAGAACATCTTCTGTCTTCCATGAGATCAGGGAATAACTATCGAAATTCCTATTGGCTTCAAAATCCCACAGTTACTTCTCATTTTTTCCTTTATAATTTTCCCTCAAATTTCTATAAATCAAAAAATCTCAAGAAGACTGAGCCACTATAAACTGTAATGATCATGTTTTCTTTCAATCATGGATTAATAAGAGATTTCTTGAGTGAGGTAGGGGAGACAAATATATCAGCAGATAATTACAATAAAATATGCATTATTATGAATTTTGAACAGAATGCTAAAGAGGAAGAGGATTAGTTAATTATGCCTGAGGGAGTCAGGAATGTCTTCCCAAGGAGATCACATTTGAGTTGGGTCCTGAAAAATGTGTAAGAGTCTGCCAGGTTCAGAAGGAGGAGAAGAAAATTCAGGCAGAGTAAACGGCACAGCAGAGACTTGGAGACAAGAAAGGTTGTAGCAGATTCTGGGAACATGAATTCAGTCAATATGAAATACGATGGAGGGGCTGGGTATTAAGGGGACAAAGGTAGCAGATGGAAAGGACTAGTGGGAAAGAGACTGAAAGCATGTGATAATAACAGGTTGTGAAGTGTCTGTTATACTATCCAGAGGAGTCTGTATAGTCGGTGAATCAATTTACTTGAAAATAAAACTGTGGAAAGTCTAAACCACAGGGAGAAACTCCAGTGTTAATCAGGTTACAGTTAATCAATACAACATGACACTTTAGTAAAAATGTTTATTTCTATGTCATAGATTTAGTCTTCCAACTGACAATACATTTTACATCGGAGTACAACCATATTGCTCCAGTTGTGAAATTTATAACAATTCCTTTTCATCCAAATGGTAAGAACTAAATGAGATTTTTATCATCAGAGGCTTTGTTCCTATTATCCTTGTTTCTTATAATAATCATGTTTCTTTTTAAGAGCTTTATTATGATTATAAAAGTAAGAACTCTCATTGGGGAAAATATGAAAAGGCTGGAAAAAATTAACAATCACCTTAAATTCTAATGCAAAGAGAAAATACTGTCAACATTTCGCCAAATTTATTTTCTTTTTTCTATGTATGAACTTTTCTCTATGTAGTTGAGGTATTACATCTGAAGTTTTGCCTCTATGTTTTTAAATTTATTTATTTTATGTGCGTGTGTGTGTGTGTGTGTGTGTGTGTGTGTGTGTGTGTGTGGTTTTTTTTGAGACAGGTTTATTCTGTTGCCCAGGCTGGAGTGCAGTGGTGTGATCTTGGCTCACTGTAACCTCCGCCTTTCTGGTTCAGTCGATTCTCCTACCTCAGCGTCCCGAGTAGCTGGGACTACAGGCATGCACCACCACACTCAACTAGTTTTTGTATTTTTAGTAGAGACGGGGTTTCACCATGTTGGCCAGGCTGGTCTTGAACACCTGACCATCCATCTACCTTGGATCCCCAAAGTGCTGGGATTACAGGTGTGAGCCACCGCGCCTGGCCTAGGTTTTTAATTTTAAAACTATGTATCTTTTTTCTGCATTGTTAAACATTTTTAAAAGATTGTCTTAAATCGTTCGACAATACACTTAACCATTCCTCTATTGTTCAATATTTTAGTTGGATCTAATTTTTCATTATTATAAAAAATGATATTTTTTTATAAATATCATGTCCATAAAGTAGAGGGAACTTTAGTCTCTAGGAGGGAAGGTATGGGAAAACTTGTGACCGCTCTTTTACCCATCTCTCCTCCCAAGGGAAGTCATTTATCTGATTAGGAGGATGAAGGAAAGAATTAAGAATTAGTGGCCCAGAATTTTCTCAACACTCTCTCTTTCTAACTATCCTGGGTACAGTCTCTTTTTCTGCAGGCAGGAAATTTAGGCAGGCCTTCAGTTTGGGAGTTAAGTTCAAATCAGGGGGACTTTTGTGGAGCCTGATTAAAGCCATTCATCAAGTGCATTCTCCATTTCAGTGTTGCGTACAATGAAGCTGATGTTTTTACTTCCATCTTTCAATACTTGATCTGTTTTATAATTACATATGAACTTGAGGGGTTAAAAGGATTATTTACTAGCTTTCAAACCCCCCAAGGGTGGCTATGTACAGTTTTAAGTCTTTAGATATAAAAAGCCAAATTGCCTTTTGGTGGTATTTATACTCCTACCAAAAAGTATATATAAAGTTCTCATTTTAGTACCTTCCAATTCTGGCCATTGAAACTTTGAAGAAATTTTTTTTGCCAATTTGGTAAGAGCCTTGGTATTATTTTAATAAGCACTTCTTTGAATACTTGAGAAGGAAACATTTTTTCACATTTGTTGATTCTTTTGTGACTTGTATGTTGTAATTGACAATGTTATCACATTGTCCTAGATGCTGCAAATATTTCCTCTAATTTGTCATTAATTTTCAATTTTGTTTATGCCATTTTTTCACATCTGGGATTTAGAGATTTTTATGATTTAAAATAAGTTTATATTTAAGATCTATTACTCTTTTCCTTTGGGGTTTTTGCGATTGTCTTTCATCTTAGATGATCCTTTCCCAAAACAAAATCAAATAGTCATTTTAAGTTTCTTCTAGTCCATTGTATAGTTGTATTTGTCTTATTTAACTCTGTTATTTCTCCAAACACTAAATTAATTGTGTTAGGGCATAGGCCAAGCTTCTGTACATCTTTCCAACTTAATATAACAGGCCAAGACTGGAGGTTAAGTTTTGCCCATCCTCAAGGTGGAGGATTCCATTTCTGGGACTAAAGCATTTACTCTGTCACCATTTCCAGTCAGTGGGAAGGGGGAAAAAAAGAAGGAAAACCAGCTTCCTTTAAAAAATGATTCAGAAATTGCACACTTATATTCCACAACTAAAACTTAGTCACAGAGCCATATCTTGCTAGAGGAGAGGGTAGGAAAAACAGTAGGGGCACCTATATATTCAGCCAAAACAACACGGTAATGGATGGGAACCAGGGATGGATATAGTGCTTCTTATTACAGAGAGGAACTAGGAAAAAGGAAGAGTAAATGCAAATCATTTTTCTGGCGTATCATTTTAATGTTTGTAAGTTTTAAATGATAATTTATTATATATGCCAATATTAATGTATTATTTTAATACAGTAGACCCCCATACTGGTCAGCCCTGTATAAGTTTTTTGGACGACCTTATGATGTGGAATACAAACTATACATTGAGCAGCATCTTACTTGCCCTACAGGTAAGAATAGATTGCATATAATCTTCTTTTTAATACTTTTAATTATCTAACTGTTCAAACTATAAGAATTAAAACATACAATGCATATTTAAGTATTTAAAGAATTTGAGAAGCTTTTTTAGATCCATATTTCTATATGAAGGCTACAAAGTGGAAATTATAAAGACTATTATTTTAAAGTGAAACTGATAGTTAAGGCCCCTTAAGACCAAAGAATACGTATCTTATAAAAGAAGAAAATAATGATTTAGGTGGCTTCAATTCTGAAAATATAACCGTAGGTTTTCTTTTGGCTCCTACCTTCACTTCCTGGTGTTGAACAGGCCTTTTACATCCTTCTTCATTTACTGACCTTGCCTTCCTGAGAGAGATGGATCGAGTGACTACAACTTAAAATGCTCACCTTTGTTTTTTGTTTCTGACAGTGCTAGTTAGCTGCTTTCTGTCTCATTAGCATTCATATCAAACCCAGTGAACAATTATGCCAAGGATTTTCTCCTCTCCTCAGATGCCTGTTTCTCAAATGCCACCTTTACCCACTGGACCCATGGTCCTTAGAAGCATACCTCAGTGTTGTGCCTTTTCCTTTCTTTCCTTCTTTCTTTCTTTCTTTCTTTTTCTTTCTTTCTTTCTTTCTTTCTTTCTTTCTTCTTTCTTCCTTTTTTTTTCTTTGATAGGATCTGGCTCTGTTGTCATCCATGCTGGAGTTGCAGTGGCACAATCATGGTTCACTGCAGCCTCAACCTCCTGGGCTCAAGTGATCCTACCACTTCAGCCTCTCGAATAGCTGGGACCACATTGTTTTTTAATTTTCTCTAGAAAATTTAATTTTTTTAATTAAAAAATTTTTTTAAAATGTTCTCTAGAAATTTTAATTTTTTAAGCATAAAAAAATTTGTTTTTAAATTTTCTCTAGAGAAATGGTCTCACTATGTTGCTCTGGCTGGTCTCGAACTCCTAGGCTCCAGAGACCGTCTTACCTCAGTCTCCCAAGTTGCTGGGATTACAGGGAGCAGACACCACATCCAGCTAGTGTTGTATTATTTCAGATTCTTAAAAAATCCTCATATCTTATCTGATGCTAAAATGAATTATTTCAGCAACACTTGCTTTGACCACTTAGATCTAGCTTAGCAATAATCTATCCATGGACCTACTTATCACTAATAATGCCTGGAGATAAATTACTACATTTTGATTATCCAGAATACTTGGAATATAAAATATTCTGGCATAATTGAATTTTTAAAATATTGAATTATAAATTCCATTTCTTGTATTTCTTATTTTTGAAAATAAAATTATACTTTCTTGGCTAGTCATCTTAGCATACTAAGTACATTGTAATCTTTAGAAAAGATTCAACGTTCAGTTCATTCATTCATTCTACAAATATGTATTGAGGATCTACTTGTGTGAGACTGTGTTCTAGGAAAGAAACATTTGAGCAAAAAACTCAAGGGAATGAGTGTGATATGCAGAAATCTGGGGTTAATCCTTTAGATTCCTTTAAACTGAGATATATTCTGATCTCATCTATGTAAACTAGAGTCTGCCATAAGAATAGCTAAATGATTTCAAAATGTAATGAGTATGGGCAAACCAGAATGAACTGGTGAAAATTTTGAATTGCAGAATAATTTGATAAAAGGGAAATTTGGGGCTCTGAGTTAAATTGCTTGGCTTCACATCCTGATTCTGTCACTTGTTACCTTTGTACCATTGGACAAAATTTTCCCACTTCTCCGTGCTTCAATTTCTTCATCAGTAAAATGGGGCTATTGTTACCTCATGAAACCTGTGAGGATGAAACAAATAAATGCATGTAAAGAATTTGGAACTCTGCCTGGTCCAAGAAAAGAACTGAATAGTTAATACAGGTTGAGTGTCTCTTGTTTGAAATGCTTAAGATTTGGGGATTTTTCCAGTTTTTGAATATTTGCATTATATATGCTCACCATTTGAGCATCCCAAATTTGAAAATTTGAAATCTGAAATGCTCCAGTGAGCAATTCCTTTGCACATCACGTCAATGCTCAGAAAGTTTTGAATTTTGGAGTGTTTAGGATTTCAGATTGGGATGCTGAACCTCTAGTTGGTTAATATTATGATTATTCTTACTATTAAACAGTAATGCAAAGTGATACTAAAGTGTTGCTAAATATATCATGGAAAGCCAGTAGATAACACAGTTTTTTGTCTTTTTATTTTTCAAAAACATCAATAAAACAAATTGTGCACACATTACAAAAGATTTTTAAGATAATGAGAAGGAAAAGAAAATCACTGATAATTATAAAGAAAACCCTTAACTCTGCTCTTACTAAGAAAGAGCTTCCTGATCTTTTCTCCTGTGGTTCTATTTAAAATCTTTCGGTGGATTCCACCTTCTCCACAGGTGTAAGCTCTAGTTCTGTGGCATATCTAATCCTCACACCTAAACTCTCCCTAATACACCATGCAATTCTGCTCCTACTTTATCTTCACTCACATTGCTTGGTTCAATTCAGATCAAAAAACATTAATAGAGTTCTAAAGTCTTAGACCTTAGAAAATTGTCAGTCCAATTCCCCTCTGCCTGGCAACCCATTTTCTCCTCCCTTCTTCCTCAGTCTGTCCAGTAAGCAGCTGTTCATGTTGTAAAAGTTAGATCAAATGAGTCTTCCTCTAGGATACCTTTTCTGATTTATTTTCCTAGGTAGAATTAATAGCTTTGGTTTCAGGGGAGCTTCCTTTGCCACACACCCAACAGTCCCCTGAGCAGGTTTCTGTTAGAACACTAATACTACAGTACACACACTGCTTACTTATCTGTCTTCTCCTATTGGACTACAAGCTCCCCAAAATCAGGAAATAGGTCTAGTTCATCCTTGATTTCTCAGTGCCTAACCAGGACAATGCTGACATTTGGTAGATATTAAATAAAATGAATGAATCTGAATGTTTACATTGTTGCAGTTATGGTATGTATATTGTCATGCACTTAACAGCAAGGATACATCGTGAGAAATGAATTGTTAAACATTTCATCATTGTGTGAAGATCATGGAGTGTACTTACACAAACCAAGATGGTATAGCCTAACACATACCTAGGCTATGTAGTATAGCCTGTTGCTCCTAGGCTACAAACCTGTACAACTTGTTACTATACTAAACACTAGAGGCCATTGTAACACAATTTGTGTATCTAAATATAGAAAAAGTACAGTAAACAACTGGTATTATTATGTTATGGGACCTCCATGGTATATGCCATCTGTTGTTGAGTGAAGCATTGTTATGTGGCACGTGATTATATAAACCATATAGCCTGTTTCTTTTTCATTTAACATTGTCTCTCAAGTTACTTCCATATGGTTACAATCAATATTTTAATAGCTGTTCAGTATTCCTTTGAAGGTCAGTGCTACCCAGTAGAACTTTCTGCATTGATGGAAATGTCCATTATATCTGCACTGTTCAACACAGTAGCCACTAGTTATATGTGGCTATTGATCACTTGAAATGTTGCTACTGTGACTAAGGAACTGAATTTTTTATTTTATTTCATTTTCATTATTTTAAATTTAAATAGTCACCTGTGGTTGTGCCTATAGTGATGGACAATACAAGTTTAGACCATAATTACTAACTACTTCTTTTTGAATAACAAATGAGATACATTTCCAATGATCACATTGTTATTCAAGGGGAAGGTACTTGAAATGTTGTTTAAAATTTTTTGAAGTCTAAATATACTAATCAACTTCAACTAAAATTTTTATAATCTTAATTTAAATTCAATTTAAATGCATATAATAGGAAGGAATAGGTTACAGAAAGAAAGTTGTAACTTGCTTTTTGATATCTCCTGGTTTTATATCATACAATGAGCCTAATGTTAGGTTTCTTGAGAGTACAGACTATGTCTCATTTTTTAATCAATCTCCAGAACCATACATTGTAAGCATTTGATAAATGCTTATTGAAAGTTGTATATATTGGTTTGTCTTTTTGCTCTAAAAAAGTTTACTTTTGAAACTCTCTGTTTTCTGTGTTTTTCTATAGGTTATGCTTTCTAATCCAGTGCCAGAGAATCCAGTGAATTTGGAAGCAGCCAGAATACTGACTGAAAGTGAATGTCTGTACAGAGCAATTCTAAAAGTTTTCAGCAGGCCATTACAAAGTAAGAAGTACCTACATTTTGTTACTTGGCAATTATCAATTATTTATTAAACATTTATGGCATAGTGACCTAAGAAATAATTGTTATATAAGGGAATATTTAAAATATTTTCTGTATCCATTTTCAGTAATGAAATGATATTAAGATCTGTACTACTATAAGTCTTTGTCACACCATCAGTGTGATCCTTTTTTAAAGATCATCAAGGATCTTAAACTCAGTATCTTTAAATGTTATGGTCATATGTACGGATGGTGCCAAATGAACCTAGTCTACCCATCATAAAGATATGACGTCTAATTTTAACTCTTCAATCTGTCGCCGACATTTTCCAGACTTCACCTGTGGCACTCCAGATCTTACCAATTTGCACCACTTGTCTTCTTGATTAGCAAGATGTCAATTTTTTTTTCCAGAGAGTTCCCTCCAGGAATTCCTTCCAAGAGCACACGTGGAAATAGAGCAAAGCTCTTCAGTCTTTCTGCTCTACTGAGCAGTGTTTTCCTGATACCCTTGGTATCCTGCCAGCATCTTCGCTGTGACTTTTAACTCCAATGCCTCCATTGCCCCTGTACTCTGTCTCTCCAGGTAGTACAGCACTGCTTCTGGCTTCTTGTGCACAGAAGGGTTTCCTACAGCTGAGAGCTGGGCCCCTAGTGACATAGTTATTTCCTTTATATACTGCCCCATCTTCCGGTAGCACACAGCAACTTGCATAGTAGCTGGTATCATTACCTTCCCAATCAACAGGATTTGATTTTCTTTTCTTTTCTTTCTTTTGAGATGGAGTCTCATTCTGTTGCCCAGGCGGCAGTGCAGTGGTGAGATCTCGGTTCACTGCAACCTCCGCCTCCCAAGTTCAAATGATTCTTCTGCCTCAGCCTCCTGAGTAGCTGGGATTACAGGCACCCACCACCATGCGCAGCTAATTTTTGTATTTTTAGTACAGATGGGGTTTCACCATGTTGTTCAGGCTGATCTTGAACTCCTGACCTTGTGATCTTCTCACCTCGGCCTCCCAAAGTGCTGTGATTACAGGCGTGAGCCACTGTACCCAGCTCAGGCCTTGATTTCTCATAGTGCTTTTTCTCTCAGATTTCCATTGTCTCTTTTTCTATTTCCCTTCCAGGAGCCCCAGTCCATTACCCAGGTCTGTATAATTGTGACCAAGTTCTATTGCTCCTCCTCCACAGGGTTTTTTGCTCTGATACAAATCAAGGTGTTGATCAAGCATCTTTTCCAGTACCATAGAACTTTATTATATGACAAAGTTCTTGGGGAAGCTATTTGATCCCAAGTTTAATGTGAAGTAGTAGTAGAAAATTCCTGGTCAGGCGTGGTGGCTCACACCTGTAATCCCAGCACCTTGGGAGGCTGAGGTGGGTGGATCACAAGGTCAAGAGATCGAGATGATCTTGGTCAACATGGTGAAACCCCGTCTCTACTAAAAATACAAAAAATTAGCTGGGCATGGTGGTGCGTGCCTGTAGTCCCAGCTACTCAGGAGGCTGAGGCAGGAGAATTGCCTGAACCCAGGAGGCAGAGGTTGCGGTGAGCCGAGATAGCACCATTGCACTCCAGCCTGGGTAACAAGAGCGAAACTCCATCTCAAAAAAAAAAAAAAGAAAATTCCCTTCACTAAGTATGTGTTATACACTAATTTTACCCTTTTCTGACTTGGTGTCCTTTCATCTGGAATACCAGTAGGCTTGACTTGGAGTGCCATATTTCTAAAGGCTGAAGAAACTGTGTATGTTTAACCAATGGAAGAAAAGATAAAGGGCTGTTGTAAAAGCTGTTTTCAAATATTCATAGGGATTTCCCGTGGAAAAAGGAGGTTTCTTCTCTGTTGCTTCAGAAAACTAACGTAGGACAAATACTGAAGCTACAAGTCAGTCATACTTTCCCCAGGCCTGCTGGGTACCAGAATTGAAGTTCAGAATATGCAGATTTGGCCCTGCCTGTGTCAGAACATACCTTAACTATATCAGGGACTCTTCTCCCATAATCAGTCATCTGGAATTAATGTTATTATCCTAAGTCTAAGCCTGGCATGTGATATGCAGACATGTAAATGTCACTTATTACCCAAACTTTTCCCCAGCCTCTGTTGTTTGCCTACCCTGAACAGCAAGGTCTTTGCCCCAGTGTATTGACAAGACGACCAAGCTAAGCTCTAAGCTCAAACCCAGTGTAGAGGTCCAATGACCTTCCCATTTCCTGGCAGCCTCCTTTCCTTGTCGCCTGGCCCCTTTTCCTTTCTTAGAGTGCTCATATGCCCCAGACTGCCTGAGACAGTCCTGATATAATTATTTCCAGTGCCTCCTTTCACTTGCAGGGTACCAGTTTAGACAATCAATTACATAGCCAAGTTGGGTGCCTAACTGATGAAATGACTCTATAGTTGCACCATTCTTAATGGTAAAGTCCATCCGGGTCCCAGTTGGCCAAATATGAGGAACAAATTTTTTTAACAATTCAAGTTGCTTAAAAGAATGGACAAGGCCAGGTTGGCAGTTAGTAAACTCTCTGTTACTAAAAGTATTCTTTTGTAACTAGTGTTTATTAGATAGAGCTAAATGACCATGTTTCAGAGATGTTATCAAAGAGCTTCTTTGATAAAAGAAGTGCCAAGAATTGGATAAGGGGGCCTTTTAAATACCTTCCAACTTATTCTTCAACTAGTTCAGGAAAACTCAGAGGAGGAAGGTCTGGAGACAATGTATAACAACTGTTTTCCTCATAGATTCTGAGTATTGCTACTTACTTTCTAATTTGTTATGAGCTTTCAGATGAGGTTTCATATGAGGAATTGTCTGCCTCTTTTTTCAGTTCATCCTTGTGAATTTTGACTTCCAAGTAGTTGTATTGTCAAGTAATATTTACTTTCTGTTTTCACAGTTGTTTTGATATTTTAAAACCTAAGTTTTGTATAATTTTTAAAACCTTTGGTTGAAGCAAAATACAAGAATATAAAAATAGTATAGCTGAGTAATGGTAGCTAAGCCTGAGGTAATTATTTTTTCTTAGCCAAGTATATCCCTAGAGTTTTTAATAAAAAAGGAGGATCATCTAATACATTTCAGATACTCATCTAAATAAAGTATAATTGACATATGAGTCATAATATTAGAATAAAGAAGAATATAGAAATATTAGGGAGATTATAATACTAATTCGTGTTGTATACTTTTTTAAAACCTGGTAATTCTATAAATACATCATATTCTGCCTACGATTAGGAAAATGTTGTGACAGACATTTGACTCTTCTCCAATTCCAGCTGCCAATTTGTTCACTGAGTTTTAAAAAATCCTTATAATAATAGAGCAATTTTAAGGCAAATTGTCTCTGCAGCAGAAGCAGGTGGTGTTTCATAGGATTTCAGGTTTCCATTTCTTTTTAAAGTAAGGATACTTCTTTGGTTAGGTGTAGGAATAACCCTTCCCCTGAGAAATATACTTTCTGGATGTCAGGGGAAAACAAAATTTAGTCCAGTAACGTTGCTTACTTGTTAAAGAACATGAGCTTTGGCACCATCATTCAGAACCAGTTTTGTTATTGATTACAGCTTTGTTACGGATATCCTGTTACTTACAAATGTCATGAGATATTAAAAAACTGAGTTTAACAGCGTGGTGGCAGAGTGTGGATCTATTTGCTTGGGTTACATACCTCTTTTTTCTTGTTTGTATTTCATTATACCAGATAGTCCAATAATTTTTCAGCAAAGTTTCTAAGTTGCTATTTTTAATGAGAAATGTTAAGTATTTATTTTCTATCAAAGAAATATATGTTTATAGTTTTAAAGGACAAATAATAGGAATCGGTTTTTAATGAAATATTAAAAACCTGAATGCTGCCTGCCAGAGGCAGTCATAACTTTCAACACATTTAGCTGTTTCATCTGGCATTTACCCCACTACATTTCTAAGCTTATTCTGTACTAATATTTCCAGGCTTTTCAGTTTCAGATATTATTTATAGGCTTCATCTTACAAAATACAAAGATTTCGCTTTTAATACTACCATTCCTACCCATATTCCCTCTCCTTCATCCTCCTAATATGATTTGGTTACATTAATATGGCTTTATAAATACTTGTCATAGATAAACCGTAAATGATTATCTTTCTTTTCTTGTAAAAAAAAAAGGTCTGATTTTACATTCCTTTTTTATGTGTAAACTATCTTTTCTTCCTCTAAACTTCCTGATAAAGCTGTAAAACAGCTCCCAGGTATCAGTCAGCATTGAGTCTGTTTTGTTTTGTTTTTGGAGCCCTCTTTCCTGTGGCACTCCCTCCCTCCTCTTGAATTCTGAATTGGCGGTTCTCTTGCAGGTGTGCTGGGATGATGGCCTTTTTGTCCCGAGTTCTGTGTTGCCGGTTCTCTTGCAGGTGTGCTGGGGTGGACTTTTTGGTGCTTCTGGGTTGGAGCTCCTGCTCGCTTTCGATCCCTCATTTTCCTCTTGGTTGGTTCTGTGCCTTTGTTTTGTTGGAGCACATCTTCTAGGAGCTTCCTAGTACATGGGAGTTAAACCTTTTATAACTCTGCATGCCTAAAAATGTAATTATTGCTACTCTCATATGCTCATAGTTTGGTTAAATTTTAGTTTGGAAATAGTTTTCTTTCCAAATTGTAAATATTTTACTACCTTTCAGTTTCTAGTGTGCTCTTGAGAAGTCTAATTTCATTCCGATGTCCAATCTTTCATATGTGATTGGAAGCTTTTTAAACCTTCTTTTTATTCCCAGTGATAGGAAATTTTTGATAACATTTGTTGGTGTATCCTCCCCTTCCCTGCCTCCACATTACATAGGACATTTGATAAGCTATCAAATTCTCAATCTCTAATCATTCAGTTCTGGGAAAATTTCTTATGTGATTTATTTTGTAACTTCTTCTCTCTTCATTTTCCCTATTGTCTCTTCTAGATCTGCTCTGATTTGAATGTTGGGTCTACTGATCTGATCCTCTAATTTTTTTTTAACTGAATTTCTCCTGTTATCCATCTCTTTGTTTGTTGTATATTCTGGAAGATTTTGAGAAAAATGTTTCTGTTTCCTATTTTTCTCTTTTTGTGGTTAGGATTGCTCTCTTTTATGGTATTGACCTTGCTGAAATATCTAGTGATCTTTTACTATCCATTCATATGAGGGACATATGATGCATATGGTGAATGGACTATTAAAAAGACTGGAAGTTCTGAATACAGTCTGGACTTGTTGACAGTTTTATTTCATAGCAAAATTATTTAGTGTGAACCTGACCATTTCATTAGACTTAACTATTTCTCCTGAGAGGGATCTGCCAGGCTTGTGGAGGGAGAAAGAGAGAGAGAGAGAGAGAGAAAGAGAGAGAGAGAGAGACAGAGAGGGAGCATGTGTGCAAGTGCAAGCAAGAGACAGAGAGAGCCCTGCTAATACTCTGACAGCTGGACAAGGGGAGAGAATCAGGAATCTTGTCTGTTTGATATGATTTATTCCATTTTCAGTTTCTTACCATACTCCTGTCCTGCTTTATTTCTACTGTCCTCCAGTACTCAGTCTCTCTGGCCCAGTTTTTCCAGAGGTTAAATATCCTCCCTCTTATCTCAGCAGTAGTCATGATCTGGCGACACAGGATAAGGGTATAAGTCTTTGGTGTCTGTACTCTGCCTCTCACCCCGCCTTCCAAAGGTATCTGGCATCTTCAATTCCTGAATTGTTTCTCAGGTTCTGAAGTGCAAATCCATTTGCTTTTTAGTGGTCTCCTCTCATCATGCGGTTTTTGTTGTTGTTGTTGTTGTTTTGGTTTTTTGTTTTTGTTTTTGTTTTCAAATTTCTGTGGCCTGCCAAGACAGTTACCACTTGATATCTGCTTTCCATCTTGAAACCTTTTCTTGTCATCTTTCTTTTGCTGTCCTTGAGATTTTATACCTTATTTTTATTCCTTTATTACCATTTTATTAAGGCTTTGGAAATAGTGCACATAAAGCCGTATGTTCAATCTCCAAGTAAAGCAGAATCCTTTCATATTTTTTCTTTGTAGTGAAAGATGACAGCCAGAAGTTACCTAAAGACCCACATAAACCTATGAGGTAAGTTTTTCTTCATACAATTTTATATCGATTTATTTACCAAAAGGACTATTTATTTATTTATTTTTTACAAATTAAAATAATTTATTTTAGAAGGGTTTTTAACAAGGCTTGTAAAGATAACAGGCATTCATCAATTCCTCCATTCTGACATATTACAATTAATCAATGTTTTGCTGACTTGTAACAAATGTTAAGTTTATTTTTGTATTCCCTAAGGATTAGATTTTTTGTGTGTATGTGGTAAGTTTTATTTATTTTTTGTATTGCATTTTAGGTTTTGGGGTACATGTGAAGAACATGTAAGATTGTTGCATAGGTACCCACATGCCAGTGTGATGCGTTGCCTATCATCGATGGGCATTGGGTTGGTTCCAGGTCTTTGCTATTGTAAACAGTGCTGCAGTGAACATTCATGTGCATGTGTCCTTATAGTAGAACGATTTATAATCCTTTGGATATATACCCAGTAATGGGATTGCTGCGTCAAATGGAATTTCTATTTCTAGGTCCTTGAGGAATCGCCACACTGTCTTCCACAATGGTTGAACTAATTTATACTCCCACCAACAGTGTAAAAGTGTTCCTATTTCTCCACATCCTCTCCAGCATCTGTTGTCTCCAGATTTTTTAATGATCACAATTCTAACTGGTGTGAGATGGTATCTCAATGTAGTTTTGATTTGCATTTCTCTAATGACCAGTGATGATGAGCATTTTTTCATATGTTTGTTGGCCTCATGTATGTCTTCTTTTATAGTGTCTGTTCATATATTTCACCCACTTTTGAATGGGCTTGTTTTTTTCTTGTAAATCTGTTTTAGTTCTTTGTAGATTCTGGATATCAGCCCTTTGTCAGATGGATAGACGGCAAAAATTTTTTCCCGTTCTGTTGGTTGCTGATTCACTCTAATGACTGTTTCTTTTGCTGTGCAGAAGCTGTGGAGTTTAATTAGGTCCCATTTGTCTGTTTTGGCTTTTGTTGCCAATACTTTTGGTGTTTTGGTCATGAAGTCCTTGCCTACGCCTCTGTCCTGAATGGTTTTGCCTAGGTTTTCTTCTAGGGTTTTTATGGTGTTAGGTCTTATGTTTAAGTCTTTAACCCATCTGGAGTTAATTTTAGTGTAAGGTGTCAGGAAGGGGTCCACTTTCTGCTTTCTGCACATGGATAGCCAGTTTTCCCAACACCATTTATTAAACAGGGAATCCTTTCCCCATTGCTTGTTTTGTCAGGTTTGTCAAAGATCAGATGGTTGTAGATATGTTGTGTTTCCTCTGAGGCCTCTGTTCTGTTCCATTGGTCGATATCTCTGTTTTGGTACCAGTACCATGCTGTTTTGATTACTGTAGCCTTGTAGTATAGTTTGAAGTCCGGTAGTGTGATGCCTCCTGCTTTGTTCTTTTTGCTTAGAATCGACTTGGCTATGTGGGCCCTCTTTTGGTTCCATATGAAGTTTAAGGTGTTTTTTTCCAGTTCCATGAAGAAGGTCACTGGTAGCTTGATGGGCATAGCGTTGAATCTGTAAATTACTTTGGGCAGTATGGCCATTTTCATGATATTGATTCTTCCTAACCATGAACATGGAATGTTTCTCCATCTGTTTGTGTCCTCTCTTATTTTGTTGGGCAGTGGTATGTAGGATTATTTATTTAAACTCTGTTTTTTGTCCTAATTAAATCTTTGTTTTTAACTTAGAAAAGGAAGTAGATATCTTTTCTCTTATAGTATCTTTTTAAAATGTCCTTTTCAGAAAGAATGTGGAAATTTTTGAATTCTTTCTAGACTGTTGAATTAAAATTAAATGTAACTATGATCTCACCTTTTTTTATTTTTGAAAAGAGAAGAATGTATTGTCAACCAAATGAGCACAGATCATTATAGATCACAAAAATTCAAGCAATTTAGGAGAAGATAAGGTTCTAGGAAAAACTTGTAAGAGTTAGGGCTGAAGCCATTGTACCTTTCAGGAAAGAGCCTTGAATGTGGCATCAGTTCACCTTGAACACCTGAAAAAGGTATAGGCCTAGAAACATACATATGAGTCTGTGGCATTTAATTTCTTGAGCATTTCCCTCAGCTTTATTTTGATACTCAATCAGATATAGAAAACAGCCAATTAACTAATGTTGAAACCGTGTTTACTTTAGCTCATGTTTCCTTGACTAGCTCCATATAAAAGTTGAATAAAATTAGGTAATTTAAGTGGTTTCTCTTTGTGAAAAACCGTTGAAAAATTGCAGAAAGGTAAGCATAATCTAGTTAATGATACACTAGGTTGGTATTCAGTAGAGGGCATTGCTACCCCTTAAACGTATCAATGTGGTTGACCATCCTGGCACAAAATAGGCCTGTGATAGTCATTCAATGCATAATGGCAGTTTTATCACCTAAAACATGAATGTCCCTAGAAGTCAAAAGTTATTGCTCTTTATGGCATAGTTATTTGCAGTTCATAAAGATACAGTGCCAGTGTTTACTAAGAAGGCAGTAAGAACAGAGCAGAAGACCTTCTGTGGTCTCAGCTTCAGCAGGTCTTCTGACCCAAACCAAGGATAAATGGTGCTAGAACCAGGTCTGATTTGTGATGCTTGCCTTGTGCTACTCTGAACTTTCTAGAGAAGCCCTTAGGTAGGACTCATCTGATGCAATGCAGCCTAGATTTCAATGATACTCTAGACTCATGCTGTGTATCAGGCTGCACTTTGTTGTGTGTCTGTGAATTCTAACGTTTGCCCCTGGTACATTTGCTCTGAAACAGAGCTCAGTTATGTCTAGTTCTTAGTTTTTAAATAATGCATTCACAATGAGATCTTGCAGAAAGTGTTCAAAGAAAGATGCTGCTGTTAGTATTGTGTGTCTAGGGCCATATGGTTAGAACTTTGTATTACTTCATGAGCTGGAAGAACTGGCCTGGCTGTAGAAATGTATTCCAAAGATATATCCAGGCATTTGGCCCCCCTGTTTCTAAAAGACATAGCGAAACTCAGGCAAGGTCTATTTAACTGGGTACAATATAGTGGGGGAATCTTGCTGATGTTTATGAACTGAAGGTGACTTGAACTTGCACTAGTCATCTTGGGTGTTTGCAGTGGTCTATAGGTTACCACTTACAGGTTATGGGGCAGGTTTTCAGCCCTTGGGAGAACAGCTACTTATTCATATACTTAAAATGAATTCACCGAGCATATGCTGTATGCCAGGCATTGTGCCCCAGTGTGAGCATACACACGTGATTAATATGTGATCTCTAACCTCACAAGCTTTATCCTCTAGCATTGGAAGCCCTCTTCTTTTTTCACCATTCCATAAGTATAAATTATTTATTTTGTATTAATTGTTGCATAGTATCAGAAGATGTTCCTCTTCTGAAAGGGAGGCAGTGCAAGAAGTAGGCCTGTCCGGCACAATGGACAATATAGAGAGCATTTGCCACCAGAGAATGTAGTTGGAAGACCACAGGGAAGGTATCAAGATCGTGACTAAGGGAAGAATTCTGAGGGCAGATTGAATCATATCTGAAATGAGTCATATTTAGCAGAAACCTTTTCCCATGTGGCTTTTATTTTTTCTAAGCTTCCTTCAGAGGCCTTCATTTTTTCACTATGTCATTCATCTCTGGAGCCACTTCTTTTAAATGGAACTGCCTCTTTTTTTTTTTCCTGTTTTTTTTTTCCCATTTATTTTATTGCATTTTAGGTTTGGGGGTTCATGTGAAGAACATGCAAGATTGTTGTATAGGTACACACGTGGCAGTGTGATTTGCTGCCTTCCTCCCCATCACCTACATCTGGAATCTCTCCCCTTGCTATGTCTCCCCAACTCCCCACCCCCCACCGTCCCTCCCCTATTTCCCCCCAACTGACCCCAGTGTGTAGTGCTCCCCTCCCTGTGTCCATGTGTTCTCATTGTTCAACACCCGCCTATGAGTGAGAACATGTGGTGTTTGATCTTCTGTTCTTCTGTCAGTTTGCTGAGAATGATGGTTTCCAGGGTTCATCCATGTCCATACAAAGGACACAAACTCATCGTTTCTGATGGCTGCATAATATTCCATGGTGTATATGTGCCACATTTTCCCTGTCCAGTCTATCATCGATGGACATTTGGGTTGGTTCCAGGTCTTTGCTATTGTAAACAGTGCTGCAATGAACATTCGTGTGCACGTGTCCTTATAGTAGAACGATTTATAATCCTTTGGATATATACCCAGTGATGGGATTGCTGAGTCAAATGGAATTTCTATTTCTAGGTCCCTGAGGAATCGCCACACTGTCTTCCACAATGGTTGAACTAATTTACACTCCCACCAACAGTGCAAAAGTGTGGAACTGCCTCTTTTAAATGCAATTAACATTTTATTGAGCCATGCCTGCTTACCATTGTAGTACATAAATATAATATAGTAAATGCTATGATAGAGGTAAGATCAAGATGCTGGGGGAGCACATGGAGAGAAACATCTTCCTCAGGCTTGGCAGATTGGGAGAGGAACACATAAAGACCAGCTTTCAGAGAAGGTGATGCCAAAATGACTTCTAAAGGCAGAATAGGGATTCATCTATAGACTATGGGGCCAGAGGATCCTGGGGAGAGGAAACCCCACATTCAAAAGTGTGGAGGTAGCGACTCAGGAGGCTGGGGCAGGAGAATTGCCTGAACCCAGGAGGCGGAGGTTGCGGTGAGCCGAGATCGCGCCATTGCACTCCAGCCTGGGTAACAAGAGTGAAACTCCGTCTCAAAAAAAAAAAAGAAAAAAAAAAGTGTGGAGGTATAACAGGACATCTTTCCCACAGTCTGACCCAGGAGAAGGCATTTTGACAACCTGAATAAAAAGTTAACATGAATCGTGAATGCCAGGGGCAACCAAAGTAAGATTATCAGGAGCTGAGATAAAAACTAGAAGAGGAAAGGATTGGTTGCTAGATAATCAAGAGAGCAGAGGAAAATGAAAGATAGATGATGAGCATGCTAAATATACATCGATGTGCGAGTAACTAAA